CGAGTCACTGAGTCAGCAAGAACCTGCACACAGGGAAGCTGGATGAGCCCCTCTGCACTAACCCTGAACTCAGGGGCTTTTCACTCAAATCTCACATCAGGCTCCTTGGCAAAGGTTTCCTCTATCACAGCCAAAACAGATAGCATTTTATAACTATAGTTTGTTATTTGTAAATGAATTAAGTAAAAATCATCTCAATAAAGGATACATCTAAAAGGTCACGACTGCACCCATCTCGACTCTCTTTGTTTTCTCTTCCCTGTTAGTTTGCACTGACAGGGGGAAGGCAGCACCTGATCCTACAGCATCCACAACCAGCCCCCCCCCCCCCGCTCATCCTGTTCTCTTCCTGTGTGGACCATCAGCCCTTAGCCTGCTTCAAAGCTACAATGACATACAATCCTCTTGCCAGTGGGACCTGGCAGCAAAGTACCATGTGCTGGCTGAATGACCTCGAGATAAAGCTGAGATTTCAATACTCAGCTCTCATGCTGTCAGGCATCTGCCTCAAGGGAAGGAGGGCTCCATGGAACACAGTCAAGCACTCAGTCACCCAAGTGTCACCCTCATCCCAACCCCCACACAACAGATGTCCCCAGTCAATCAAAATTTCAACATGTAACAGCATGAGGTTCTTAAAAAAAGTTCCTGATTCCAGATAATTCCAAACATATGAGTACTTCACTATCTCTGAGACTTCCAAAGACAGCCCTGGTTGCAGTCATTGCTGACTGATGAGCTGTCCAAATCTGAAGCATGCCCACAATGACTCCAATTCCTGTAATTCTGTTCACTTAGGGAGGCTCCCCACTGCAGATTCAGTCTACCCCACAAAGACCTCCATGTCCCTCACCTGTGTGCCCATGCAGGTGGGTTATTAAGACCTCTGTATCAGAGCCAGGAACAGAGTGGGCCATTGCTTACCTGAAAAAAAGGTAGAAAACTCCAATCTCCAGCCCAGAAAATCAAGGTCTCAGAAGTCTCCCCACCCTGACTGGAAGGCGAGAAGGTGAGCCTCAGATTTCCTGGTGACTTACACTAGGTGTGAGGAGGCCAGGGTGCCTCAGAGAATCCCTGTATCTCCACAGTGAACAAGGTGAGACTGCAGGGTGGTTTTCAAAACCCCAGTGTATAAGCATCACCTGAGTTAATCACCTGTGGATTTAGAAGCTTCACTCACAAGATTCTACTCAATGACAAACACTTGGGTGACTTTCCAGCACTAAGGAATAGACTTAGAATAAGGAGGAAACCCCCAAGGCAGCCCTTCCACCTCATGGGAGGCTTCTGTTCCCACCTGCAGGGCATCCTCACCTCCTGGCTGCCTCAGAGACAATAGCAATAAACAGCTGGCATTTTCTGTCCTTGTTCTGTCAGGTGCCCTGTCAGGGTTTTGACAGGAAATATTTAGTTTATCTTCACCAGTAGATGCAATATCATCCCTGAATTATAAAAGAGGTCTATTGGGGATTTTTCTATGCCTGAGGTCACACAACTCAAAGTAACTAAAACAAAAGGCCTCTGACCTAAGTCCTTGGTGGGGTCACGAGAGATCACAGCCCAGGAGAATGAGCTCAGGCAAAGCTGTGGAAGGTGTTGGTGTGAACATCATCTTGGTGAAAGTCCCTACAGATGAGATGCTGAGTTCTACATGAGGTCACTCATTTCACATTGACTCCTGTATCACATCCTTGTTGTAGATGAGGATTCTCTGAGGTTCAAAGAAATTTTCAGTCACATGAGACTGAATATACAAAGGCAGGAGCAGATAATAATATGATCTTGACCACACCTGCAGCAACCTGCCCTGGGAAACCATCTCAATTCACCACCCAGGAAGCCAGCCTGCTACCACATAGACTTATGAGGATTTTCTTTGCTACTCTTATAACAATGTAGAAAGCTAAACATCAATTTATGAAAAAAAAAAAAAAATCAACCTCAGACGGCCAGGATTTAATGGCTGAGAACTTCCAAGCCTCTGCCCCCATTTTCAAGTTAGGATGAATATCAGATATGAACCCTAACCAACCCCTCAGAAGGCCCCTTACTAGTCAGCCTGACTCAAGCTGCTATGCCAACATCTCAAGTCAAGCCTTCCCTGTCCTTCACTACAAGACACTCCTACCCTTGTCTCCCTTTTGAGTCTGCCAAACACAGGTGATGATAGTTAAATCTCACACTGCAAACTCTCAGTGAAAATCCTTGCTTGTTCTCATTGGTTGGTCTCGATCTCCTCAGTGACTTAAGACAGCCAGGAAGGTCCCAGGAAGACCTGGGACTCAGGACCAAGCTCTGGGGACCCAGATTCCATTCTCTCAGCTCTGGCTGAGAATGCACAGCCAGCTCCAGAACCTTCAGCTGGACTCTCAGATAACCAGCTGCATCTGCCAAGCCTTTACAGGTGGATGGCTCCCAGACTAATCTTCCAACTTGGTTAGCCTGAGGTTCTCAGCATGAGCACTGTTTACAATATTGACTTGCTAATCTTTTGTTCTAGGCTGGCATCTGTCCTGCACTTTGCAGGATACTAGCACATCCCTGGCTTTTGGCTACCCAGGTGCCATTACCATCCTCCCAGTTATGGCAACCAAAGCTGTCTCCAAACAGTGATCTGGTTGGGGTAGGTAGAGCAAAAGCTACCCTGACTGAGGACCACAGATCTAGAATGTTGCTTCACAAACCTCTATTGTGTAACTAATCACATGGAAATCTTGTTAGAAATGCAGGGTTTTCACTAGGCCTGGGTGGGGCCTGAGAGTCTGCCTTTTCAACAGCTCCCAGGTGATGACCCTGTATCTGGTCTGAGGACAGCACTTTACAGGCTAAAAATGTACATTACAGTGTTTTCCTTAACCTGTCGATGGCTTCAGCCAGCCTAGAAGATGCTGGTTCAGAGGACCTGGGCTGGGGCATAGGCACCTATATTTTAAAAGCACAGTTAGCCCTCCTCATGTTCTAGTAACCATGGTACCAATGCTCCCGGTTCAGTTATTCAGAGCAGAGCCTGGAATCCCATGGAAATGACATCCTAAACAGTGTGCAGTTGTGACAAGAGACATTGTCCCAGCAGTGGTAAGTGGGCTTGGCTTTCTGCCTCAAGGGGAGGCTCTTGGTTGACACAACTGGAGAGAGGCCCTGCAGGAGGTGGTGTCCCAGGGCTCTGACTGCAGGCAGGAGGAACTGATTCTGGCTTCCTGGGGCAGACATGGGCTGTGCTCAGGGTAAAGGGGACTTCACAGAGGCTCAAGGAGGAGGTAGGGCAGGGGATGCCACAGCAAAGCCATTCAGGAAGGCTCCTTGAATTAATCCATTTCCAGTTTTTCTTCTCTAGAAGTGTACTTAGCTTAAGACTGAGGAAGAGACAGAGAAGCAGAGTGACCAAAACACATATACCAGAGAAAAATATTTGCCTGATTTGGTATTGGGCATATAGATTGGTCATCAATTATTCTGCATTTTTCACCCTAAGGGAATGGATTTTCTATCAGGAGAATTAATATAATGATTCACTCTATTAAGATCTTTTAGTTAAGCTGGGCACAGTGGTGCATGCCTGTAATCTCAGTATTTTGAGGAGGTTGAGGCAGGAGGATCGCAAATTCAAAGACAGCCTGAACAAAAGTGAGGTGCTAAGCAACTCAGTGAGACCGTATCTCTAAATAAAATAAATAATAGGACTGGGGAATGGCTCAGTTGTTGAGTACCCCTGAATTCAATCCCCAGTACCCAAGGGAAAAAATAAAAATAAAAATAAAAACTTGAATCCTTGAGTTAAAATTGAGTTTATTCATATTCAGTGTAATAATCTAACAGATGGGAATATGAAAACAGAGAGGACAGATCATAGACAGACAAAACCTAATTTTCTCTATTGTTAATCTGATTTTCCAGTAGGACCACATCTTAAATCCTCCTGTATACAGGAGTCCAGAAGGAATTACCATTTAAAGATATCCCTGTGGTAGCTACTTTATTTACTTTATCTAATTTATCTTGGAACCACCCTTATGTGATAGATTTTTTTTTTAACCTTCATTTTTCAGAACAGGAGACCAAATTTAAGTAATCCTTCCAGAATTTAAGTAATCCTTCCAAAATCCCATGGCCAATGAGACTGAATCTGAGGGTCTGCCTTAATATCTGTCTCCACTATGTTCAATCAATTAACAACCTGATATTTGCTGTTCTACTTATGGCTCTAATGTCCACAGGTGGAGCAGCAAACCAGGCACCACAGCTGAGAGCCTCCTAGTTGGTCTTCCGTCTACTGGTTTTGCTTGCTGTCCACCAGTCTGCTCTCCCCAGAGCCACCAGAGTGGCATTTCTAAATTGCAAATGTGATCATGTGACACAGCTCCCTTCTTCCCCAACCCTCGCTTCATGCTCAAATGTTTCCTACTGTCCTTGATATAAACCTGAGCTGCTTATTTGCTTGCTAAGCTAGGATTTGCCCCCTACCTTACATCTTCTCCCAACAGCCCCCTTCCTCCCTTGTTCCCTGTTCTCACATGCTGTCTTCAGAGGGCTCTACTTCTTTCCTTTCAGCCACTCTAGGCTCTGTGTCTTTCATGCCGTTTTCTGTGCCTGAAATGCTCTCCCTGGTTTGTCTCCTCCCCTGGGTAAGTCTGACTTCTCACCCTAAGCATCCCTTCCTCAGGGCCAACTGTGGCCATTGCTCTATGTTCTGCTAGAACCCTTTGCTTCCCATGATACACAACACACTTTGTCATGGTGGCCATGCAAAGTCACCTCTGGGATCCCTGAAGGAGGAGTGTGAGATTCAGTGACGGAGCACTGTAGACACGTGCCCACCAGCTGCCCCCAGCCCAGGACACCACCTGAGCCTTACAAAGCAGCCCTTCCTGGTGGGTGCAGGATGCCTCTGACTGCTGACCTGGCTGCAGGACTCAGCAGCTTTACCAACACTTCATGAGAACCACATGGAGAGACATTTCTACACGTGTTCCTGGCCTCCTCTCCTCCTCAAGCGTCAGGGTTTACTGTGGCTGATGACTCTCCAGGCTCTCCAGCTCCTCCACTCCCTTTTCCTTCACAAGCATGTTCTCCAGTAAATCTCCAGATGCCTGGTTGTCAGAGGACCAGAACTCACAAGCTCATTAAATTCCCTCTCCTCCCTAGAATATGCATCATGTGAAAGAAGGAGAGAAGCCTGCCTGTTGACCACTGTGACCTCTGTGCTTAGCACATAATAACCTCTCAACAAATATTTGATAAGTGCATGTCATTAAATGAAAGTTACATTGAATGCTACTTTCTGACTCCAAAGCCCATTCCCTTTTTTAAATCTCAGTGGTTCTTTCCCACTGCTCCTGATCTATACACACACACACACACACACACACACACACACACACAGAGAGAGAGAGAGAGAGAGAGAGAGAGAGAGAGCTAGGTATGATAAGATAATCAGAGAAAGTAACGATCTTTACTCACAAAAAGGTTCTTGGAAAGTGGCACTTAGTAAGATCAGCAAAGTCCCTTTTTGAGGTGAGAATTAGGGAGAAGGGGAAAAAAATAAGTATCTGGATATTTTGTAATAACATACGAAACCACCAAGACTGTTTAGTTCTGCATTCCTAATGCCAATAATGATGCTTGACATATTTAAGTGTCATTGAGTACATTTTTTTGCAAAAATGGATGAATGAATTAATTGAACAAACCACATTTTTAAATTTTCTCTCTTTTTTTTTCATACATTTCAATGCCCTTTGGACAAAAGTTATAGAACTGACACAACACATTCACAATAGATGAGTGTAAACTTAACTTGTATTTTCCATTTTGTTGATGACATTTCTCCACATTTTGTTCTGGAGGAAACACAACACTCCACAAAATGTCTCTAAAGCCCTTGGAGTGTTTCTTCTGACACATTAGAATCTTGTTCTTGAAAGTTTAGGAGGTATCTTCAGATATTTCAAAGTAATAGTTTAGAAAATAAACTACTACCAGTTTGTCCTCAAGAAAGTAATGAATTTTGCTAAATCAAAGCATCCCCATTAAAATCATCCAACCAAAGCACCATCAGCACACACCATGCCCAAGGCCTGTGCTGAAAATTGAGCCATAAGAAGAGGAAAATGTGTTTCCTGTCACTGATACCTGATATGGAGAGGACCTCACAGATGCATAAAGTCCCAATCATCTTGGAAGATGCAAATATGTTGCCATCTTCTTTTATTATTTGGAGAGTAAGGGTCACCTTATAGCTCCTGATTTAATGCAGGAATATTCAGAGGTGAAATGATGAGTTTATTGAGAGCTATAACCTCATCAGTCGATTAATCCATGTGATGCATTAATAATTTAGATATAACACTTTGTGGCAACTGTATGCAGCAGAGTGTGGATAGAGGAAGTAGGTCAGTGGGGGCATGACCTTGAGGAGTATGTCTTATTCCCCTGGTAACACTCTGATCCCTGGGTGCAATGAGCTGACAGCTTTTCTCCACCATGACATTGCCACCATGATATTCTCTCTCTCCTCAGACCCAGAACAGTGGAGTCAGCTTACCACAGACTGAGACCTCTGAAACCATGGCCTCAAAATAAGGTTCTCCTTCTCCAAATTGTTCTTGTCAGGTATCTTCATCATAATTATGCAAAGGTGACTTATACAACCTCTATTAAGTCTTTTCCAAAAGCCTAACTTTGGAATTAATCTTCTCCTATTTCTCTTTGCATTTTTGATAAGGAGTTTGTTGGTCATGTGCTTATTATTTATCCAGTGTTTATATAAATTTATCCAAGATACATTTCATTTGCTAGGCATATAAATAACACTTAATAATTTTAGAGCACTGTATACTTAAAATAATTACTTCCAATTCCAAATTTCATTTTCTTCTCTGAACAAAACACTGTGTAACAAAAAAAAAAAAAAAAAAACTAAGACATCAATAAACACTTTACAGATTATTTTGTTGAAACTGGAAAAGGTTGGGCTTTGATTTGAATTATAGCTCTCCCATTCACTAGCTGTGTAAATGTTCATTATATTGCTGTGACCTTTGGTTTCTTGTAAAATGTGAAATTATGTTATGTCTTATTTGATATAGTTATGAAAAGCAAGTGTATTTGTTTATGTAAAGGTCTCATCATAGAGTGCCTGGTACATAAGAAATAATTATTTAATAAACAGCAGCAATCAATGCATAAAAGTTTATCACATGGTTAATTTGAAGACGTGTTAAAACCCAGATCTAGCTCCAAGTCCAAAGTTCTGTTGAGGACACATAGCATTATCTAGAATCAGCTGCTTTGTGAAAGAAAAAAATTTTCATTTTCAAATCTTCAGAAAAGTCTGGCAGAGTATTTTTTCAGTTTAAAAGAAGTAAACATAGTTAATTTCAATAGACATAGTTATTTCACTGAATTGCTAATCATCATTAGGCACTTCTTGAACATCCCAGAGAACCCTGTATACAGCACCACTGCAGTGTGCCTTAATTAGCTTTGCATTTGGCAGTGAGCAACAGCAAACATGACCACAGCAGCTCAGATGCATAGGGGATTATCTCATGCAAACAAAGATGGGGCAGGTTCTGGGCTTGGGCAATACAACAGCACTGCCGAAGGAACCAGGCAATCTGAGAAACTCAGGAAATCTGAGAAAGTTGTTCCATATTAAATTGCGTAACCTATTATATTATTTTATTATTCCTTAATCAAGAAAAATGTACATATGTTTTAAAACCCTCACCTTCCAGGGTGATTGTTCTAATTAGCTTTTTCTTTATAGGTCAAACTCTATGTGCCTTGGCCAGACAAACTCCATTTTACCCTGAGGCTCCATTTCATATAAGAAATGCTTTTCCCATGAGAAAACCCTACCTCTGCTATCCTGCTTAGCACACCCTGTTTATGGATGCATGGGGGTTGAAAATTGTTTCTGTTATTCTTATACAATGTATTGTTAAGAAATATATTTGTAAGATGTTCTCATTTTAATTCCCATTTTTCTGGGGGAGTGTACTATACCCTGAACTGGGTATCATTGTGACACACTTCCTACATTACTATGGTATTGGCTTACTGGTGACTTGTGGGTTTTGGCTATAAAGGAGATGTCCTACCTTGTACAAGTGGTCCAAGTTTGCAGGGGTGACTTGCCACCTGCCCTTCCTTCTTGCCACGGAATAAAAGTTCCATGTCTTGCTTCAAGACTGACCTGGTGATTTATTTCAAACACACAGCATTTTCACCTCTGTGACCAAAAGATCTGCCAGAATGATTTTAAGGAGGAAAAATTTTATTTTGGGAGATCTCCGTTTCAGAGGCCTCAGTCCATAGACAGTAGCTCCATTTGCCAGGGCTCCAGGTGAGGCAGAGCATCACAGTAGAAGGTGTGGTAGAGGAAAGCTGTTCAGAAAATGATCAGGAAACAGGGAGAGACTCCACTTGCTAGACACAAAATATATACCCCAAAGACACGCCTCCAGGGACCTACCTCCTCCAGCCACACCCTAGTTTCTGCTCAATTAATTTCTCTCAGGGGATTAATTCACTGACTTGGTTAAGGCTCTAATAACCCAATTATTTCATCTCTAAACTTTCTTTGGGGGGGACACCTCATATCTAAACCATAATAAAGTTGATAGATTAAAAATCAGTCTCATTTTGTAATACCTCTCTAAATTCATACATTTAATGCAGTCCTGGGTGGGGGAGGGAGTAGACATACCTTGTGCCATTAAAAAAAAAAAATTCTCTAGTTTTCTATCCTTCATGTCTGTCATTAATTCATTCAATACCTGGACTCGTCTCAGAAACATTTTGCTAAGTAAAGGATTCCAGAACCAAATGTCTACATACATTATATAACTACATTCACTTATCAGTCTGAAAACGTGCATAACCATAGAAACAGAAAACGGATCGATATTTCCCAGGGGAGGGTAGACGTAGAAGTAGTTGGATATAAAATGGATTGGAATAAGGATGAAACATATGGGGAGAGAGTTAGTCAATATAGTGTTTCTGCTTTAGGAAGAAAGTTTGCAAATTGTTTTTCTATTTTAAGTTGCATCCAACATTAAATTATTGGGGCTGGGGTTGTAGCTCAGTAGTGGAGTGCTTGCCTAGCATGTGTGAGGCAGTGGGTTCGATCCTCAGCACCACATAAAAGTAAATAAATAAGCCAGTTGTGGAGGTGCCCTCCTTTAATCTCAGCAGCTGTGGAAGCTAAGCCCAAAATGGGCTCCCAACATCCCAAACTGGAGAAATTAATGCAACAAAATATACACTAACATCTGGGATCATAACACAAAGTATAAACTATCGAGCTCAAAGCCAGCCCCAGCAACAGAGATGTGCTAAGCAACTCAGTGAGATCCTGCTCTAAATAAAATACAAAAGAGGGCTGAGGATGTGGCTCAGTGGTTGAGTACCCCTGAGTTCAACCACTGAAACATAATAAAACTAAATAAATACAAATTTATAAATAAAATAAAGGTATTTTCATCTATAACTAAAACTATTTTTAAAATATTAAACAATTATATTCTTTACAGGAAATTGTATGGTGATAGAACTGTTTGATATGGTATCAGAATGGTGGACATAGGATTTCATGCATTTGTCAATATCCAGAGATTTCACATCCTAGAGGATGTTATTCTATGTAAGTGATAAAATAAAGAAATAACCAGAGAATTGGGGGATTCCAAGATGAAATGTAGATGGTGAAAAATGAATCTAATCATATTATAAATATATGACATAATGACACTATAGAGAGTAGGGAAAGAAAGAGATGACCTAAGAAACTTAGGGAAGTTGTGTTTATACTAGAAATTGATAAGAGAAGGTAAAAAGGAACTCTACAATAAATCCTGTTTTAGTTGGTAAAAAGCATGAGGTACAGGACAACAATTCTGAAACTACTTGATGTGTATACTGGTATTGAAAAAAAATGGGTAAATAATTGATACTGGTAGATTTCGGGTTTTCCCCCACTGGAGAGGAAAATTATGAATAAGCAAGAACAAAAGACTACACTATACTTGTGCTACTGGATTAGTGACATTAGTATAAATCCATATTTATCTTAATGTGCATG